AGTAGCTCTGCAGAAAAGAGCCAAACTCTTCGTTCAAAATACACCCAAGTGATTCTGCAGGGGTGATTTAAGATCTGAAAGCGGCGCTACTAACGAGCTTAGGCTGCGTAGCACGCGACATACCGCTTTAAAATCATACTTTGCCAAGTGAAGAAACTGAAAGTTCTGGCTGCTTAACTGCTAAAGAGAGTAAGGGTTCAGCATCTGGTACGAGCGATTCCATTTTCTAGGGCAAAATGACCATTACATCCAGAAAAGGTCTGCTAATGGCTGAAGCAGCAAGGGTTGAAGTTCTTCTCTATGCGCAGCAGCGATGAGCAACTTAAACCCTTCCTCTGGCCTCTGAAAACAGCTCACATGCTACCCCACATAGAGACTCCACTTCTGAAAAACCAAACGCTCTGTCATTAATTTTAGACTCGTTAGGATTAGGAAAAAGTTCTAGAGTAACCTTATCCTTCTTGTCACACTGAGCACCCTCAAATTCAAGGCAAGTAATTAGGAGGAAAGGAACAAGAATATCACATTTTAAATGTTCCTTTTCCTTGTGTAAATTGTGTTTTGGTCATCTACATGAGCTTCATTAGATCAACACAACATCCTTACCCACAGTGGTAAACCAAGCAACAGGCAGATCTCTGGCAAAACAAGAAGTATGCTAATTCAATTTACTGAGCTTGATTTGTGAGGGAATGGAGACGAATGCCTGCACAATGCTTTTTACGGAAGTGTTCAGTGATTTATCCCAAGAAACTTACCCATTACTGCCATCAGGCATCTAACTGTCAAGTTAATACAGAGCAACATTAAAATACTACATTTCTTTTCAATTCTAGCAGGAAAGCAAAGACCATGGCTACTAGCATCTGGCATACAGTTCAATATTGTGCAAACATTAATCCATCTCATTCTCTAATTCAGACAGTGACCTTAATACCAGTTCAGTTCTTAATCATCTGGCTATATCAGTGCATCTGGCATTCATTTTGCTTGACACAAGACCTACCCAATAAATAATAATAAAAAACCCTCTCAGACAATGCTTAAACACAATTGCGATCTATTTATCTGCTGGATTATATTTTCATAACAATGTCTAGACAACACTCACTCACAATAACTGTAACAGCTAAAAGATGGGTCCTAGAAGATTTTTTAGCCCATTACAGAAGACAACAACTCTCCAGTGTTGAAAAAGAATATGCTTATACGAGCACGGCACCAAAACCCTGCAGCTACAAGAGGGGGAACTACGTGGGACCTGTTCCAATACATTTACATCACTTTGCCCAAATTTCGTGTGCTCCAAAGCTTTGCCAGCTCACCCATATGAGTGCACAGGAAGTTTACCAGGCTGCTGCTGGAAACGCCAGCAGCATAGAAGAGTAGCAACCATACCAGGGTAGGAAGCAAGAGATGACACAGAACTAACAAGAATTATTCAAGTGAAGCTCTGCAAGAAAAGACTGGAGGCCTCCAACTGAGATCACTCATCAGCTTCCCTCTACTTCCCATGGCTATAAACTGAAAAGAATTTAAGATACGAGCTTAAAACTAACTCCTCAAAAACCTCAGGGGGAAAAACCTCAAAAGAGCAATTTATCACATTATAATGATAGTCCTTTTGATAGTCTAGAAGTTTGATTCACAAATCTGCTTAATATATCCTAGAGAGGGGTTATTCAAACAAAGCTATCTCCAAACAATAGCAACAAGTGAGAACCACTGAAAAATAAACTGTTATTTTAAATAAAATCCCACTGCCCCAGAGCCATCTTCCTTCTCCAGAGCAGCAAGAGTTCCTCTCATTATGAAAGATTCATGAAGACTTGAAGGGGAAAAAGGTTTAGATGAGGAACAACATCTCCCTTGACAAGTTCTCCTAAATAGTCTTAAGGCAAAAAGAGCTTCTCTTGGTTCTCTGACTTGAAGTTTATGAAAGCTTCTCTTTCTTTCCTTTGGAGGTAGTGGTGGTGGATATATAAGAACTCTTCTTGCTTCAAATAAATGAATTTACAGTTCGAGTACCATGATGTAAGTCTATTAAAATAAGGGACCAGTGAACTTCAAAACTAATAATTGGATATTTAGATGGAAAAAAGACTCCAAAACAGAAGCATTGATACCAGATTAACCTACTGCCTAAAAAATATTTTTAAATGGACAAAACCACCTACATATTCTTAACACAGAGTTAGCCATGAAGAAAAAGGCTTGCTAACATCACCTCCGTAGTCTAGAAGACCTTACACTAACATGTTGCAATCCTCACAGAAGTGGAGACCATGAACAATATCCAGAAGCCAAGCACCAGTCCAGCTGCCGGATCGGCCACTTCATCTTCCCGGCCCGATCCTTCAGCTTTTCTTCTTTTAAAAGTTAACTTGCAGGAAAGAAATCTGATCGATGCTGAAGTGACCTGGAACTGTAGTTCATCTTATCTGGGAACTAGGTGTTTGAATCCTCTGCCTTCACAACATAAAGGCTTTGGGAATTGTTGCTTGCGTGGGACTTGAGGCCAAGAATGCCATAGTAAATGGGGTTCACCAGCAGAAAAAGAAAATACTCAGTGCTTGAATATGATTTACTGACAGTATGAAGAATAATTTGTCCCCAAATCAATCTTCACCCACTTCACAGTATAGAGTCAAACTCAATGACATCAAAAATATGTAGATTTAAAAATACTTTACCCTGTTGCTGTAAAAATTCTGCAACTTCAGCTTGTTCAAAAGTATATTACCTAAGGTAGTTAGGAACAGATTTTCAAGAAATACCGTACTAGCAGATATTGCAATATCTGCGTGATTATTTCAAGCTGAAATGCCAACAAGGCACACTGTTTAAAACTTTTACTTTCTTTATAGACCTCAGACAGGTCTTATGTAGAAAGTACAAGTCAAATAGCTCGTGCACAGCACCAAACACACGGAACGCTGACGGCACAAGGGAAATAAGTTTCGAGTAATAAAACTTCTTTTTGCAGATGATTACACAGGGAAAAACCCCACGTTAAGATCAAGAGTCCACCTGTGTCTCCACGATCACTCTAAAATCTAGGCACAGGACTGTCAAGAGCATTCCAATTTCACATCAACTGAAAGAAGTGAAAGACAAGTCTTGGCTGAACAACAGCTCGTTCCAATCTGAAAATGCTGAGATATATTTGACATGCTAATTATAATATCTCAGTAAACTTTTCTTCCTAAGAAATATGAGGAGAAATTGAAGACAAAGTAGTTTAAACATAGCTTTCTGGAGGACACCAATAAGCAACAGCTGAAACTCTGCACAGGCTTTTTTTTTCTGATAGCAAAAGCCTAAATTGCCCTTTTTTGAAAAAAAGGAGAAGGTAGCAGAGCACGCTGGGCCCGCCAACCGGTAATGCAAGCCTGCACCACCACTACCAACCTGTAGCCACAGTGCTGGTCCCAGGACACTTTTTTTTTTTTTTTTTTTTTCTCTCCTCAAAAACAAGACTCAAAGCTTTCACCAGATAAATTTGATACAAGCACGTACAAGAAAAAACTTCTCTGGAACATCTGAATGTTGCATATCAATGGTTACAGATTAACTGAAATCTTCAACTTCCCCCAGGGTAAAAGGACTGTGCTCCACGTATATGACTGCACGCTGTTAAAACAGAGTAATAGTTGAAGCGTATTGGCACAGGACAGGCATAAATAGCTGTATGAAGCAACTCTCTGTTGTGGTTACCTCAAACTTTAACCAAGGTCAGACCACAATTTCCGTCAAGATTATTATAAGCCCACATGAATGTCTCTACATCAATAAAATATTACAACCCCCGGTTACTAGGTCTAAATATTTGGCTTTGCTCCTTGTGCCTCAAACTCCGGGCATACTCCATGCTCAGCAGGACTTCAGAGTCTGTGACAGGCTGGTGGCACCAGGAAGCATCTCCGGCTATTGCTTCCCCACAATAAACCACCTCGGCCCCATTCTACAACATCCTCTGCTATACTCCTGCCTTAGAGAAGGCTTCATCTTTCTAACTGAGAACCCCATTTGTAGAAAAGCAGCAACTTGCAGATCATTTGCCACTTTGATAAGCACTTAGTACTGAAAGGCTACTGTAATTACTATTTAAATGTTTCATCACAGATACCTATTAAAGATTTGAAAAGCACTGCTAGGAAAACAGCACCCTGTCTTACGATGAAGCTCCACAACCAGCATTTCTGGTTTAACATGTCCCAGTCAAGGATACCCGTGATCCCTTCAGATCCTTACAGAAGGCAGCTAGTCAGCGCTTGACTTCCATCCCACAGTAAGGTTAATTTTCAAGTTTTTCTTGTATCCTAGGGATTCACGAACCCCAAAATTCCCAATCCGATTTCCATCTAGCATTAGCAACACTTTGACTAGCTAAAGATTTCTACACAGCTATAAAAAATGATTTAAGGAGCACAGATTCTGAGTTTGTGCTGTGTTTTTAAAAAATATCAAACTCAGTTTCAGGTTTTTTGTGACAGAAGAGATTTACAACTTACAATACATTTACATCCGTTATTCCCCTACTCCTCCAAAGGGAGCAGGTGTATTTCTGACCATCATAACCCGCCTTTAGGATTACAAAAGTCTTTCCAAAAGGGGAAAGTCCCAGTGCTGCGCATCACTGGGCCACCCAGTGACCTACATACAGCAGCACTGGAGTTCAGCTTCCACTTCATAATTAAACGAGCTACACTTGCCTCACTCAGCTGCCCTAGAACACACAATCCATCAACTCAGTGTTTTTTTTTTTTTTCATTTCAGGAGGCACACAGCCTCACCTGCCCTCATCAGAGCTGCCAGGCGACGCACCTGGGAAGAAAGCACGACGACACACTTAAAAAAATCATGCTGTATCTGCTACTGCGGACAACCACCACATCTCCCGGTGCAGCACCTCCCTCCCACCACCCCTTACCACCGATTCAGAGCTTTGTAGCAAACATACACCCCCCACACACACAAAATGACACAAGGAAGGGCACCTTTATGAGGGGACCCATTGATGCTCTCGGAGCTAGACTGCATGTCCACGGTGGCTCTCCTGAGGCTGCTAAAATAAGCCCTGGACCTGGAGAAGCTGCTGCGGGGGGACCGCCCGTGGGGGCTGCCGAAGAGGGCGGAGGGCCCGTCTTTGCGGGAGAAGATGCCGCTGAAGAAGCGCAGCAGCCGGTGCTCGGGGGGGGCGGCGGGGCCCTCCCTCCCCAGCCGCTCGGAAAGCCGCTGCAGGTCGCTGTTATCCAGGGTCCGGTTCTTGCTCTTGCTCCTCTCCCAACGCTCCAGCTGCGAGAGCGGGTCCGCCTGGCTCAGCACCTCGCCCACGTCCAGTGTGTTGCGCTTCTCCGGGGGGAGAGCGGGGGCTGGCGGCGAGCCCCGAGCCCCGGGGGCCTGGCTCGGCATCGGCCCCGGCCCCGGGAGGCACCCGGAGCTGCTGTGCCTCCGCACCCGGCTCAGCGCCCGCACCCGCGGCAGCTCCCCGCCGCCGCCGCTCCAGTGCCTGAAGCTGAAGCTCCGCCGCAGCAGGCCCGGCTGGCGCCAGGGGCTCTGCCCCCGCTCCCCCGGGGTTTCGGCCGGGCGGGCGGAGGGCGGCCCGCGGGTCCCCGCTCCCCCGGGCGCCTCCTCGGGGGAGGCGGCGTGCTGAGCCCCGGCGGAGGTGGCCGCCGGCTCCCCGAAGCCGAGCTCGGCGGGGACGGGCGGCCCGGCTCTGCGGGGCACCTTGAGGCGGCCCAGCTCCAGCTGCCCGGTGCTGAGGGTCCTGAAGTTGCGGAAGCCGCAGGGGCTGGGGGTGACTCCATCCCGCTCCTCCTCGCCTTCCTCCTCCTCTTCCACCAGCAGCAGCCCGGCCCTGGTGAGGCTGGAGGAGCCCGGCGCCCGGCTCCGCCCGCGGCGGGGCAGCTCCGGGCCGGGGTGGCCGCTCTCCGGCCCCAGCAGCTCCTTCTTCACCATGGTCACGGAGATGCGGTAGACTGTTTTCCTCTGCGGGGTGCCCCGCTGCATCCTCTCCGGGGAGGCGGCGGCGGCCGGGGGCTCGCTGCTGTCCAGAAGATACATGTCTCCTCTCCCCACTTCAGGCAGCAGCATCCAGCCCGGGCATCGCAGAGGTGCCGGAGAGAGCGGGAAGGGTGGTGGTGGCGGGGCGGGGGGGGGTTCCTGGAACCGCGACTCGAAACGCAGAACCACTGCGACCCAATTGAACAAGAACAACAACAACAAAAAAATAGAATAAAATACAATTAAAATCCTCCCGAGGCACAGCCGGCTCGGGGAGTCACGCCGCTGCTCGGCGCGGCGCGGTTAGGCGGCCCCCGCTCCGGCATCCATGGAAGCGCCATCCAGCCCTCCCCGTCCCCGCCGAAAGGGACACGGAGGCACGAGTTAAATCCACGCAGCGACCGCCCGCATCCTCCCCGCGGATCCCAAAACGCGTTGCTGGGGAGAAGCAGGGGCCGGTAGTCAGGGGATTAGAGCAGCAGCAGCCTTCAATTGCATTGTTTACAGCCAGACTGCACGTTTGCGGATCCTGCGTCTTTTTTTTTTTTTTTTTTTTTTTCTCCTCTCCCCTCTCCGCTGGGTCAATCAGATGAGTAATATCCTCGGGGTAGGGGAGAGAGCCTCGGTGCGGGGCGGCGGGGCCCCGGCGGCGGCGGGGGCAGGAGCGGCCGCCCCAGGCGCAGGGCCCTGGGCGGGCGGGGCGGGCGGGCGGCCCCCGGCCGCGGGAGCCGGGGCTCTGCCAAGCGCCGGACTGGAGCGCGAAGGAGCAGACTCACACGCAGCCCTTTCTTTTTGGTTTTGTGTTTTGTTTTGTTTTCTGTTGGGTTTTTTTGTTTGTTTTTTTTCTTCTTATTTCCCCCCTCCTCCAAATCTTAGAGGCCGAAAGGGAGGGGAGACTCACTCTGTGCAAGCCCCGGGTTTAGGAGACACACACCGTGCTGCACAGGAGCGCACAACAAAACTTTTAGACAGCACCTTCGCATCCCAACAGCATGGGTGCAGGGTGAATCGAGGGTAACACCTCCTTCACAACCGCAAGTCAGAATCACCCAGTACTGATCAATTTTTCATCTGTGACAACTGGGGTTGGCATTAATAAAAGTTTACCAACCCTAACACAGTTAAAAGGCCACATGACTATGTAACTAGTCGCGCAAAGAAACTGACCCACTTCACAGCCACTCGTTTCAACAGGTCCTAGTTCTTCTATGGAGCTGGAAGGCAGTGTGACAGGCACTCCTTTCACACCCAGCTCCTCAATTCTCAAACAGTCCAGATCAGGGACACTGAAGGAAGATGTCTGCATTAAAGAAGTCATGATGACAGACACCAGAAATTAAACAATATTAGGAATAAGGTTTCTAGGTTCCATGCATAACATGTCTTTAAAAGCCAAGCAGCAAAAACTGCCTTGTACATCCCTTCCAAGTCTACAATCAAACCCCATTTACCTATGTCAGTAAGGTTCAAAACCAGCAAACGCGAAAACGAAGGAAAGTGAAAATGTAACTCTTAAACAGAACAGAACCCTGAAACTGTCAAGGCGATTCACTCCCAGGATGGCTTCAAAAAAAAAAAAAAAAAAAAAATCAGACACAGCAGAGAAGACAAAAGCTTCTACTTCGGTGCTCCCCAGATAAGTACCTCAGCTCCGGACAATGAGAGACACGTGGCATGAGCTGAGCACGACACGTCCCCCCGAGCCGGTGCGCTCACACCAGCTGCACCCAAGAAGGAAGGATGCTCCAGGTCGCAGCTACTACACGTACTAGTTTATTGATGTCTCTGGCATCCTGCAACACATCTTACAGATCCGTTACTGGTTGGAACACAGTGAGTTGCTGAGTTCTCTCACTTCTCCAGACATGGACATGGCAATGCAGAGAGTAGGATCAAGGGCACCCTCACCAAGTTCACCAACGACCCTGAGCTGTGTGGTGGGGGACACGCAGGAGGGCAGGGATGGCATCCCGAGGGACCTGGGCAGGCTGGAGAGGGGGGCCCGGGCAAACCTCATGGAGTTCAACAAGGCCAAGGGCAAGGTCCTGCCCGTGGGCCGGGGCAATCCCCAGCACAAACCCAGGCTGGGCCCTCGAGGAGTGGCTGGAGAGCAGCCCCAAGGAGAGGGACTGGGGGGGCTGGTGGGGGGAAACTGCCCGTGAGGCAGCCCCATGTGCTCGCAGCCCAGAACCCACCCGTGCCCTGGGCTGCAGCCAGAGCAGGGGGGGCAGCAGGGCCAGGGGGGGGATTCTCCCCCTCTGCTCCGCTCTGGGGAGACCCCCCTGCAGTGCTGGGGCCAGCTCGGGGGCCCCCAACAGCAGAAGGACACGGAGCTGCTCGAGCGGGGCCAGAGGAGGCCACGGAGATGCTGGGGGGGCTGGAGCAGCTCCCCTGGGGGGCCGGGCTGAGAGAGTTGGGGGGGTTCAGCCTGGAGAAGAGAAGGGGCCGGGGAGCCCTTCGAGCGGCCTCCCAGGGCTTAGAGGGGGGGCAGGAGAGGTGGGGAGGGACTCTGCGTCAGGGGGGGTGGGGGTAGGACGAGGGGTGACGGTTTTAAACTGACAGAGGGCAGATTTAGATGAGATGTAAGGCAGAAATTCTTCCCTGTGCGGGGGGTGAGGCGCTGGCCCAGGGTGCCCAGAGCAGCTGTGGCTGCCCCCTCCCTGGAAGGGTTCAAGGCCAGGTTGGACAGGGCTGGGAGCACCCTGGGCTGGGGGAAGGGGGCCCTGCCCAGGGCAGGGGAGTTGGAACTAGATAAGCTTTAAGGTTCTTTCCAACCCAAACCAGTCTGTGATTCTATTCCATATGACAGTTGTTGTCTTTAACACTGAATAATTCATCTTTGCTCTACTCATCGCAGAACAGATTTGTATATGTATCTTCAGCATGACCAGCCCTAGAGAAAAAGTCTTAAGAACAATCCAACATGAGCTTACACTTGACCGGCCTGAAACATTTTCCAGTTCGTCCTAAATGCCTGTTCACTCCTATAGAATGATAGTAGATTTTTCCATTTGTCTGGCGTCCAAAAGGCTATTTCCAATATGCATGTCTTAAAGGGGGGGGGAGCAGAACCTGTTGTGAAAACTGAGTCTTATGAGAAATACAGGAATAATAAATAGATACACACTACTACATGCCAAATACATAAACAACTAAACTTCAGCCACTCCAGTGCGGCGTAGTGCACTGACATTTACGCCTCGCCGCTCGCATCCTCCAGCCAAGTCCGGGCCGCACTTTCCAGCGCGCCGCTCCAGCAAAGCGGCTTCGTACCCGCAGCGGAATCGACCATTTTTCACCCTCCCGGCCTGACAGACCCCTTCAGAGGCACCACTATTTAAGCGCAGACAAACAGCCGGCACATTCCTCTAACCCTCCCCGTAACCCTCCCCGCCGGGCCGGGCCGCCCCGACCCCCGGGCCACCATAGCGCCGGTGGGGGGGCAGAATATTTACATTAATCGTCAGGTTCGAGGTGCTGCAACAGCTTTCCTGCAGGTAGTAAAGTACTTGCAGGTTGCTCTGCTGCTCGAGCTGGCTACTCGTCGCAATTTAGCACCCTGCAACTTCTTGTAAATATGACTTCTTGCGGCACAACCGACTTCACTGGCAGTCTAGAGACCAGCTGCAGGTCCTGTCGTTGCTCTTCACCACCAGAGAAACTACACCAGCTTTAAAAAAAATCTATTAGTTGGCCATACACTATTGGGTTATCTCAGAGCAGGGACGTGATTCACAGAATAGGGGATTTCATGCTTAATATTCTCTCGGCTGGGAAGTTAGCGCAGAGGGCTACGGAACAGCTTGGACTCGGGGATGGTGCCGGGGCGCAGCGTGGCCTCGTCGAGGGCTGCGACCCAAGCAGCTCCCGCCGCAGCGCCCTCGCCTCCTGCCCGACTGCTCCTCCGGACGTGCCATCGGCACAGATCCGGGCCCAGAACAGGAGAAGTCCCTCGGGCCCCGGGACAAGAGCAGCCAGAAGCCACGGCGGCCAACCCAAACAAGTCATTTGGCTCCAAGCCTACGCCGTGTGTCCTGAAGGGCCCTCGGCAGCAGCTCCCGGTTACCTTTTATTCTTGGAAGCACAGAGCGTGACGCGCGCGCACAATAAATACAGGGCTCCTGAAAGGTGTCAGGGCCATCGGCAGAATCTGATGACACAAGAGTATACACCCTTCATTTATACTAACTCAAAACCTGCGAATTACTACACTACTTTCTGCCAAGTACCTCCAAAGTATTTTGCTTGACAAAGTCTTACTGTCCCCCTCCCAGACAGTCACACTGAAAAGCAGTACCATGTAAATCCTCCATTTGATGTAGCCATTAAAGGGTCGCATCTGCCACTTTTCATGCTACTGCCGAGGTCAAGACTATCTACACCACTTTGAAGACCTTCATCAGCAACAAAACCAAACCCCACTGCATCTCTAGAGGCAACATAAAGTCTTTTTGAATATGTGAAATATTATATTTTAGTATTACATATGTGGAATACATATTTTTATTTTTCACACAGGAAGCTCATCTCACAACACCGCCAGCAAACTAGCAAACCTCAGCCTGATGATTTAAAATGCATTAACATGCACCACACAAGGGAAGCACTCTACTATAATTTAGAGTCTCGCAATTTTCAGCAACAAAACCCAATCATTTATTTTAATTGACACACTGAAACACTGGTAACACGGGTGTCTGAAATACATCTTTAAAATGCTTCAAGCCATCTTCACGCGGACTTCTGCCTCGCACAGCCTGCTTTACTTGAAAACTGCAGTGCTGCAGTACCAGCTGTATCTGTAGTGAGACACCGTGCACTGCTAAAATGAATCCACAAATTAAATACTCCAGATTAAAAAAAAAAAAGAGATGAAGACTAAGATGATTGGGGACAGTGCCGAGGGAGCCCGGTGAATACAGTATTCATAGCTTCCCATTCTGAATTATACTGCTGAGTTTCACATCAGTGCTGCCCGGGTCACCAGCACACAGCCCCGACTGCTGAACATGAACAACTGCCGAGACCACCATGCTGGGAGGAGAATCGTTATTACTGTCCAACAACTGCAAAGCAAGTTCACTGTAAGCAAGAGTATTACTGGTACTGACTTTATAAAGCAAAGAATTCTTATCTTGGCAAAAAGGGATGTAAAATGGGCTTTGCATTTTCTCTTTTCCCAAGAACTCTTTGCAAAAAGTCTCTTGAATTAAGAATAAGGAATTAAAGAATTATTCCTTACAAGAGTTTCACATTCCCCCAGCAGGTTCAACACAATCACAATTCAAATGTAAAATCCTAGACAAGGAGAAACATATGCCTCTCATACTGCTAGCATCTGAGCATTAAAATTTCAATCCTGGGACAGCCTCGACAGGTTAGCCTGTTTTGCTGAAAAACCTTTAGGAGTGCGCAACTCTTGTGATGCTGCTTGTTTATATGCCTGTGTTTTGGTTTTTATCGGACAACTTCTGGTCATTCAAGTCTTCACTGTTTTCATTGTCTTCTTGTTTGTTTTGTCTATTGTTTGTGTGTGGGGGGTGTTTATGTGTTTTTTGTTGTTTCTGTTTTGTTGTTTTGTGGGGGGTTTTGTTTTGTTTTTTGTTCGTTTAAGAAAAACAGACCTAAATTTTATGGTTTTGCACACTGCAGGTTAAACTCTTAGACACACAGTATCGTTCCTTTGACAAACTGATTGTG